GGAAGAGAGCACAGACATTATAAACAATTAAAAGATTCAGTACAACAATCTGACTCGTTCCTCTAAAAACTCAAAAAATTGGATTCATGAATTGAAGATTTCTCAATGCGTTAATTAATCAATCTTTTCGAGTTTCCTCGAGGAGTGAATCAACCTACTGGAACTCTAAATCGAGGCAGGGAAGTGAAAATTCACCTTAGTCCTCAGCGCGTTCCTCCTGAAGAAGGCCTTGCAGCTTTCGCAGGAGACGGCGTTGAAGTTGTAGCCGAGCGCGCGGTCGCCGCAGACACCGCAGATCTTGGTGGGCTCCTTCGCCGGCTGTTCATCGTCCATTGCTCCTGGGGCGGCGATTAGCACGTCTTATCTAATGCAGGCGGAGTAACATCGTTCTCCTATATCTCTCTCCCGTCCCGCGCGACGAATGTGTTTTCGCTCTCTGACTCACAACAACATTGTTTCTTCTTCTTTTACAATTTAATGGCATCGACGAGTATTCGTCCTTGTTGCCATCAACTAATAAAGATTAACATTGTTTATCTGCATTCGTGAACACTTCGCCCGGAGACCAAGACGCGACTATTTATCGTCCGCGGCATCATCTTTCACTGCAAACGACGACCTCTTCTCCACGGTCCAACGCCCCTTCGAAGATCCACATGTACAAAAGCTCCTTAAGTGACCACTGGATCGCGTTCAATTGACGTCTCGGTTAATTGACGACAGTAGACGAGGCGCGGTGCGTACAAATTCGTCGTAAAACTCGTTCATCTCGCCGTCTCTTCTCCCCCCGATCCCTTGTCACTATCCGTCACCGAGAAGATACCACGCCGCCGTAATGTAAGTAGGGATCTCTCGCCCACGTGACCGCGGAGAGAATACCCGCGCGCGTCGTCCCTGCCTTTAAACGCGTTTCGGAGCAGATTGATTGTTTGACGAATTCCAAGCCGATTTTTCTCTTTATCTGATAACACATCATCGAAGCGTCGATAGTTTTCGAGTTATAATATTCTTCATACTAGTTTTCGGATAAATAATTTCGGGAATTTTGCTGAATTTTGATTTAAAGCTTTGTTATATACGATTTGCAACAAACTGCAATATTTTCGCTAAAATCGATTGCAAATTAGTCAGGGGCTTTGTCAATTTTTAAATTAAGGTCGTGATTCTGATATATAATAAATCAAGAGATATAACAGAAACAGCCCGATTTTTTATCGAACAAAAATTATTATCAAATGACATTTGTAATACTCGAATAGTCATTTAAAATCAATTAAATATTTTTCAATAATTACTGTGCAATAGAAATTTCTCTTACTAACAAATGTACTATATTATTATTCAATTCATTTATCGTAAATATTTTCTTCTCGAGCTTACTGAAGCTTATTATCGAACAAAAATTATTATCAAGTGACATTTGTAATATTCAAATAGATCATTTTAAATCAGTTAAATATTTTTCAATAATTACTTTGCAATAGAAATTTCTCTTATTAACAAATGTACTATTATCCAATTCATTTATTGTAAATATTTTCTTCACGAGCTTACTGAAGCTTATTCATAAATAATTTAAATAACTCGATTAAATATATATTGAACTGTTATATACTGTCGAAGACAGCATTAAAATGCAAAACAAGAAAAGTATACTGACAAACTCATAATATACAGTATCATTGCGCAAAGAATGTTCGATTTTACTTTTATCAATTAATAGTTTGATTCAAAGTTCACAGGCATCCATATATATAATTACATGCATTGTCGCGAGAACACAATATGCATATTCCACAAAAAATCTAAAATCAATCGATCGTAAAATTGCTTCACATTGCACAGAGATCGAATTCGCATATATCATTATTGTAAGAGACGTCGCGGTTACTTCGGAAATCATTTATCAATTTAGCCGGCTGGTCAGTCAACATTATCATTTCTATTTTTCTCAACGTGTAAGATAACCGTGATATCGAGATGTGTGTGCGCGTAATGATTCATGTTTACAAAATTGGATCGAGCGTGAACTTGATTAACACAGCGGGGAGGGAGGAGAACAGTACGACGAGAAATATAAACAGTCACATAAGAAGAAAGCGATAAGACGCATAATATTGCGTATTTCATTCATGGGCGTGTATGTATAAAAAAAAAACAAATCTTGTTTCCTAAAAAAAAAATTTAATTAAGTCTTGCGATATATGCACATATGTCATCACATTGATCCTTTGATGAGCCAAGAGGCTCATAAAAATAACCAACACAAATGCTGGATTACTAATCACTTTGATGTCATAGATTAAAGAACGATACATTAACTACAATTTTTGTGGATAAAAATACATAAATACTGATACGAGAGATAAACAAAATACACAATAGGATCTCTGCTTAAAGAAATATTCTCTATATTCTATAAGATTCTATCTTCATATAAGATCATTCTCTCAGAAGTATAAATCAGCCATAAATATATTTTCTACGTTAGTAAAAAAGATCAAGATATATATACATATATATTTATATATATTAAAAAATATGTATATAATACATTCCATAAGAGAGAGATCCGCTGCTCAATAATCGAGCTTACTTATATCACTTTATCAAGAAGGCACATATAATAAATTTGAAAATGAATTGTAGACAAACAGAGATCGAATCGGAAAATTTGTCTTAGCAAAGAGAGTAATAATGTCTTGCGCAAAATGCGATTACAATCGATTTAAATATACACATATTGTTTTAAATATATGAAGACACCAAAAAGGCACTGTTTAAAATTTTGTTCGTCAGTCCATTAATCTACCTACCTACGCATTTGGATACTGTTACAATGTCTAGCAAAAATGTTTGCTCGGCAGTATTGATACATGTCACGTAAAATTCTTATATACATCGAAATTATTGACAAATATTTTTTTTCTCATTTACAGTAGGATTGATCATAGCGAAAATTACTTTGGTGGAGTCTCAGTCAATTTCGTGCTCCCGATTTGCATACCGCTGCTGTACAGCATCAGTTCCTCCTTCATATAAAACGCCACGATCTCATCGATTGTCGAAAAAGACAGCTCGTTCACTTTTGCGGTGCCCAGTGCATATCTAAATAATTTAGCAAATACTCTTCTATATCAAACTTTGTTAATAATGAAAAATAGTTAATGAAAAATATCTTTGCATACGAGTTATTTTTTCACGTTTCCTTTTTGTTAACAAAAATAAAAAAAAAATAACGAGAGTGCTAATTTTCCAATCCTATAAAATGTTGATCATATAAGCATTTATATCCAATCATTTAAAAAAGGAAAGAAAATTAGATCAATATAATATTTTTTTCATACATAATATTTTTTTCAATGTGGAACCTAATAAGAAATTATAGTCCAATGCTCATGAGTAAACAAAGTATATGGACAAAAGATATTTTAACAAAACGATTAAATCCGATAAACAAAGTGTGTACCTATTGTCGGTTCTCTTCCTAACTGGAACATTATAAACCCTGTCCTTATACCAAAGGACCAAGGCTAAGGGATTGCCAACGTTCGTCGTCGATGGTCTCAATAAAAAATATCCATCTTGTGGGTTACTGTAAGTACCTTCTGAAACATAAAGTGTTATACATTTAACAGTTGTTTGATATCGAATGTGTTATTATATTTGAACTTTATCTTTCCGTAAATAAAAAAAGAAGTATAGGATATTTTAACAAGAGATATTTCTATTTTTATGATGCTTATATATTTAAAACTAAATATACAATTTTACATAGATGCAGAATATTCCGTAACCACATAGCGTTTTTCTTAATTTTAATAATTCTCTACCAAAATTTATAATCAATTATTTTCTTAGCAACATTTTATTATTAAATATAGTTTTTACCTAAAAAAAAATTGTCTAATACATACGTTCTTTGATGAGTATAGCCGCCTGTTCCCTCGTTATATTATGGTACCATGGTTTATCTACAAAAGATTGTTTGTCGGGCGGCGGCGGTAGCGGTCGCGTGGCTCTTTCGGTTGACAGCGAAGTATTACTGCCGGCATGAGGTAATGTGGCTGATTTTTTATCCGGTGATCGTTCTGTAAATATGTAAGAAAACCAAAATTAATATACAAGTAAATATTATATAAATTGATAAAACAATTATCACGAACTTGTTCAACGGCTACGTATCAATAAGTTTTTACATTTATTACAATAAAAAATAGCTCTAGACATTTTATATGTAATCAAAACACAATGTAGGCAATATTATAAATTGATATCAAAAGAAATATAATTCAATATTATAAAGGTATTAATTTATAAATGAGAGAAAGAAATTGCATGGTAAAGCATATGATTCTAAATTGTTGTATAGAGATAATTTTTTTTTTTTTTTCATTAAAACAAATCGATCGCGTTACTAACTTGCTAAATTAAGTCGAGCTTGCGTAAGGGCCGCCTGTGTTAAACATTCCGAGAGACTTGCTTGCCGGCGTACCGCTGTATTGAGCGACATATTCCGCTTCGTATCGCTCATTAAACTTGCCATTATCGCGAATTCGTCACGTATTCTTCGGCGGATCGCGAGTACGTCTATCGAGAGTACAAATATATCTTCATTGATTTCTCTTTATAATTAATATCTCCGACTGTTGTCTGACAACAATATTATATTGCAGCTACTAGAACTCGAACGAACGCAAATGAATTTTTGTTATATAATAATCAACGTCTATCCTCCCTGCGTGATCTCACTAAAACACTCAGCTCGAGCTTCTGGAGCTGCACTAATACGAGGAACGCGATGCGATCGTCGCAAGAATTCTGACGAAACTGAGATTTAACTCTCTAGGGCGAGCCTTTTAAATCATCGCGAAAAAAGAACAGCATTAGTCAATCCGTTGGTCTCTCGGCATGAGACATAGATGCATCCGAATAACGCATTTAAGAATATCTTCCGTATATCCGATTGGAAGGGTCAATGATCTTTTAGAAGCAACAAAGAAAATTTGATAAAAGTGTCTTTCACAAAAGGAAGATGAAATTTTCAGTAGTCTAGTGTTCTTATAAAATGATAAAATTGTTATTTGTCAGATCATGCACGCTCTATCCTTATTTCCAAGTTTTTAGATTGAATATATACCTAAATTAATATAAACTTTACAGTTTCTCATATATTCATATAAAAAAAAACATTAATTTTAATAACGTTAATTTATTATTAGATAAATATTTTAGTGTACGAATATTTTAGATATTTGGCTTTATACTAATAAATTATATTGCAACATATATATTATACGATATTGAAAATTGATGTGTATATACAGAAAGCAAAGGATTCATTTCCCAAATCTATTCCCGTCTCTCAACAGAATTCGACAACTTTCGAGGAGCAAAGAAAGAACAGATGTTCTATTAGCGTACACTCATGTGTTGAGCTACATATGATCGCATAATACATACCGTATCGGAGTAAATGCAATATATCGCCGAACAATGCGCTATTTAATCGTTTTATATGTACCTGGCGGCTCAGGTGGCTGCGAATAACAACACGTGGACAGACCTCTCTTGATTCGCACCATCATATCGGCGACCTCATCGACCAGACGTGTGCCCAGGCCACTTAGGAGCTGTTTGCTCAGCCGTAGATAAAAACAGGAACACATTCCATTACCTAATCTGGTGTTGCGTTCTTTATTGTCCTTTTAACCGATCACCGTTATCGTGTCCTTCCACACGTACGTTTTATCTTTTGGTCCGAATCGTTGATTAGAAATAGTATACCTGATGTAAAACTTTATATTCCACTTTTTATCGTTCGTCCTTACATTTTGTCTTTTCTTCCCGTAAAATTCTGTAGTTTTGTAGATATTATATTAATTCGCGAGTACGATATTCGTTTTTCTGTTCCGTCGCCGCGGCACTTCACCGATGAAATCGATTCTGTTTCTTCTCACTCGGATCGAAAATCTCCTGTGATTTGTTTCGTCGATTTCTCTAGAAATCTTTTATTCATATCGAAGGTCAAAGGTCTCTCCAACTTCCGCGTATGAAAAATATTGCGAACACCGCGAAAAATTGCGACAATATCGGTGACATATTGCAGCAGCGACGAAACATTTTTTCGATTCTATCGCAAATAGTGATATCTAACAACTTGTGAGAATCGGGCAACAATGACGGTGGCCAGTACGCAACTACACGCGATATCGCAATGGCAATGCGCATCAGGTTGCATGAGAACCAACGATAAGTAGCATTTGCCAAACACATGTTCGTGAGAAGCTGCTACGAGTGATTCTGCACTTGTCACAAGTCCACAGTAGCTTGCACTTTTTTTATTCATTGGACCGCATGTTCGGCAACTTGTCTCTTGCTCCTTTCGCTTAAATATTCCATCTGTTCCGTTTGACGTAGTAACAGGACGAATCACGTCCGCACAAATAGTTTATATCTAATCGCCTCTCGTTTTCCCTTTATTAGGCAGAATAGCGGTATCGGCCAGTAAAAATAAAGTTTTTCAATCGAATTTAGAATTACATCGATAATTACAAAAATTTGATTTAATAAATAACAATATTTGTATCCAATAATTAAGAAATTGTATCCTTATACACACAACTGTTACAAAAATATTACACTATATGTAATATTTTTGTAACAATTGTGTGTGGCAGATTAAAAATCGGTACCAATAGTTGCCATAATGCCAAAGATTACACATACCTTTGTGCTCCTCCGATCTGGTTTTACTAGGAAAAGTCGAAGGCGGTGGGGTCGGCGACAGTTTAGCGGGTAAGGGAGGCGGTTCTTGTTGAGCATCGTTTGTCCTTTGAATGGGGCTCAAGTAACCATTATCTTCCGGCTAACGCAAGATGATAATATCATAAATAATTCACCGATTCTCTCTCACGATTAATTACGATTCCAAAGTTGCGTTTATCGATAAAAACTCACCGTTTCCGTAATAGACTCATAAATCTCGTAATCCTCCTCCTCTTCCTCGTGGCTCGCGGCGCTAGGCGGTTTATAAACACTCTCCACTGATCCCTGACGACCGCTGTGCAACGACTGCTTGCTATCGACCCGCGAGATCTCGCTCTTCTGTTGTACTTGCTCGATGATGTTCTCGTCGAATGTTTCATACTCGTCCTCGCTCTCCTCCGTTCGCGCCGGCAAATTCGCCACAAGATCAAAATTTCTTATGGTGGCTGGCGGTGGTTTCGGTAATTCCTTGTCGAATCCTTTCTTGATTTCCACGGAGGTGTAGTCCTTGTTTTTCTTGGGCTCCGGCGGCGGTGGCACGGCCATTCTTCCTAGAGACACACATGATTCATAATATATACTCAGATATCGCCATTTGTTTAATCCTTTTGTTGCAAAGGAATTCGAGCAATGCAATATTTATTAACATCATGTTATTATCGATAAGAGAATCGCACGCGCGATCTATACCGAAAGAATTAACATGTAAATGCGACACGTTAACCTGATCAACTTACTTTGCGCTTTGCTTTGATCATTAGGAATGTATTGGTGTGTCTTCGGCGCATTATGCAGAAAGGATTTCTGCGGAAGTCCTTTGCCAGAAGCCGTCATCGGGATTTTCCGCGACGGCAATGCCTCCGGTTTCGGACAAATCGCCGGTTTCTTCGCCGGCTGGTCATTTCTGCGCTTTAACTCCTCCTTCAGTTTCTCGGCTAAAGTTTTCTCTATCTGGCTGTGTAACCTCGAGATATTTCTTGTCGACGGTAACTTCATCTCCTGGAAATTCGCATACATATTTTCCTCTTTGTCTTCACAGGAAGATTCGCAATTGGCATAAGTCTCTTCCTCTTTCGGTTTTGCTATTTTCTTCGACGATCGCGTCGGTATCCTACTAATCGGTATCCTATTATTCTGCGAAAACAGAATCTGTTTGTTCTTGATCAGACTCGGTTTTATAATCTCTTGCCTATCGCTCAAGGAATTATTTTCTTCTGGCGCCTCATCGTCGAAATCAGTTCCCCAGGAACCGCTGTCGCTCAAGTGATCATCGTTCTGTTGCACTTCTGTAATTTTATTTGGTAGATATTTTTCCGGAGACTTGTTCAGTTCTTGCACAAAAGTCCATAATTTTCTACAACAAATTTATTAATATAATTAACAAAACGTTTATATTATAAAATATTAATCTTATAAAATGTTAACTGTTTTTATGATAGAAGGATAAATTATAATAAACAGTATTTTGCGTGGAATACAATGCTGCGCAACATTAAATCGTAATGCGGCTGTAGAGTGGAATGATCGAACACGACCTACGCGGTAAAATTATGCACGACATGCAATCATCAATTAAGTAGTCGCGCAAAACGAATATTCTCGCGAACAAAATCCTTATAATGGTATCTTTATAAAATGCAAAGTTTGTCCAAATTATTAGCCACGTAATACATTCTTGATTTCATTGTATGTCAGCAGTTTTTTACTAACGGAAATTTATTTCAAGAAATACTAACAGATTAAAAAAAAAATGTAAGAAATGAGATTTAATAAAAAAAACAAGGTATCAATATATAATTATAAAACCGTTACTTATTACATTACGCGATACTTTTCATTTACTCGATATACACGAACACAAGAAGTTATTGGCGTACTGAATAATCAGATACCGTTAAGAACATGCTATGAGAAGCATGGGACACGATTCCACGAAGAGTAAAGAGAACAGAAGGAATACATAATATATAGTATAATGCGGACAGAAATAAAGCTGGTTCTCTCACCCTATCAGCGGACGCGTGAGGTCACTCTTCCAGAGAGCCAGCTTCCCATCCGTCAAGTGCTGGAATAATTACAATTAATTAAGGCATGGTTAAGAGCGCACGCGCCATCGTCGGTCGCCTCGAAATATTGCTGTTGCAGCCGGAAAAAAAGCAACCGGCAGCACGTTATCAATGGAAGTGGGCAGATAATTATTACTGTGTGTCAGTATATATCTCTATTATTATCGAGCCAGCGATTTCGAAAACGCTTTAAGTCAAGGAGGACATATATTATATTTTTAGTAACTTGATAAAAATTTATCTTTTTCGTTAAGAGAATCGCTGAATACCTTACATAAATAAATTATGTAAAAGACGAAAATATGTGTGAAATATGATAAAAGTACACATAATTTATGTAAAAATCTTCTATAAATCAAGATCAAAATATCTTTGTGTAAAAAATGAAACAATTAAGTAATTAAATCTCAATAATAATCAATATGCAAAAAAACCGTGTGTATTATTCAAAATGGAAAAAATTATTTTAATTATTGTTAATATAACATTTTCTTGATTGATAAATTTGTCCGATTACATCGTGAATAGTGTGAACCGCGAGGTTCTACTACCGCAAGGCACAGCTCCATTTTTAGGACACCCTATACATTCAGAACGACTCAGGGGTCATCGACAGGAACACCAGTGAGGCATCGCGAGCCGACAAATGAGACGTAACCGGGAAATCGCTAGCTCCGACGTCTTCAACATAATAATATTTTACTCACTAGCAACTCATCACCGTCGATTTGCCGTTTCGCCACCGCGTTGCAACATTCCTCCAGTCCGTTCTGGAAAACGGGGAAATATTTTCAGTCGACAGGATGTGTATGGTGTGCTGATAACGAATAAACACACACGTATAAAAGTTGGTATCTCTCATGTGTCAAGAAAGAATGTGCGTGACAATTGATAAAAAAAGGAAATGACTTATCAATAATGATGTGTCAGCGGAAAGTATCCGGATAAGAGTATTATATATACTATTTGTTTTCATCGAGTTTATAAATAATATTTCCTTCTTGGTGCAATAAAGTGAGATTAACTAAGGAACTTAATAAGACAAAATCAAATAAACAGTAATCTTTCAGTTGTATAAATATTTGTTTTAGAGATTTCATTTAATATAACATCTTTCTTGTGACTCTGAAACTAATGGGGAAAATAAAATGACAGTTAAGAAACGATAGAGTCGGCATTTAATTGTAATGTTGAGGAATTTGAGAAAGTTACGTAGAATCCAGAACGTGCACGAAGAAATGCAAAGATCCCTTTCGCCAGCCCCGTGTTCCCGGAAAATAAATTTTTTTAATTCTCGATGATGCGAAATAAATTGCTTTACTTATATGCAAAAAAGAAAAAAGATTTTTATGTTTATGTATATCTGCATTTCAAAATATGCCTCGTTACAATTGAAAACTTTAAAACGAAGGAATATTAAATTTTTCATTCAAAAACTGATCATTAATCGCGGCTCACCTCCTACGCTTTTCTGTATGTAAAATAAATGGACTGCACGGATAATAAATGGATCGCTTTCGATATAGGTAAAAAAGAAAAGTTATTGACGTGGAAGAAAATGTAGATGCAAGTAAGAAGAACGGACACGAAAGCTGAAAATCCAATCGCTGAAAAAACTTTCATCCCTGGATTCGTTCTCCTGGCTATAGCACACTGCGCTATAAATATACGCACCTCGCGTGTAATTTACCGCTAACGCACGCACGTGCGTCTCGCGTCTTTCGTGCCGTGTCTAGGTGTTCCCAGGCATTCCCCGCGATTCACCGCGGCGCGCCTTTGACAGTCAGTGGTCGCGACAAAACTGTCCCCGTTTACGTTCTACACTCTCTGCATCATCCACATTTTTCCATGCATTTCTATTTACATTGCTCCTCTCGCACGCGGATATTATGTTCGTACCTTTTCAAAGTACGATAACAAGGTACGAAAGGTATAATAAGTCGTGACGCGATCGTCGTTCATGATGCACGACGCTGCAAGCTTGGCTCACCTTGCGCAGCAGGCACAGCACCTCCTCCGTGTCCCAGACGGAGATGTCGTCGAGGGCTTCGCTTCGCGACGGCCTCTTGGACATTGCAGCCGCGAGGAAAAAAAAAGGGAAAAAAAACCGTCGCACGTGTACGTTCGCCGCCTGGCGGCATCTGTATATTGGCTGTTTTTGCGGCTGTGCAGCCGTCTGACCGCCAGTCCCCCCATCGTTCCTCTCCCCATCCTCCTGACTCGCAGCCACCACCCTCGCAAGACGAGGGCTTCGCTTCGCGACGGCCTCTTGGACATTGCAGCCGCGAGGAAAAAAAAGGAAAAAAAAACCGTCGCACGTGTACGTTCGCCGCCTGGCGGCATCTGTATATTGGCTGTTTTTGCGGCTGTGCAGCCGTCTGACAGACAGTCCCCCCATCGTTCCTCTCCCCATCCTCCTGACTCGCAGCCACCACCCTCGCAAGAGTTGTCGGCCATCCGCGCGATTGGTCACTTTCTCGCGGCGCACCTGCGCGCCAGGTCCGTCTCGAATTAGATGAGAAGCTTGCTTTTCACATTCCTGTAAAAACGATGACCTGCGTCAGTGTTGCAAATTTTGCATAAAATATAAAAAAAAAACATCCGTTTGATTTTTACTTATGACCTATATACTTACAGGATATCTCACGAATTGCGACCTTAATTCCGATGACAAATTCATTGACCAATTTGGAGTAGGTTTTTCCTTTGATAAAGATATCGAGATATGATAATTTAGTATGGAATATAGATGAAATTAGTTTATTGGAGCGAATTGTCCAGAAATTAAATTTTGTTTCAGAGGAGTTTATTATTCTTCTTTTAGTTACTGAAAATAAAGAAAAAAAAGCGAGTTATTTGTAGCAGTGTCTATGAATTTTTTTAAGTTGTCATCAAATATCTGTGAAAAAAATGATCCTCATTATAGCTTTTTGATACAAATAGCCTCTTTGCATTTTATAAAAGTTCAGATTATAGATTTCGAAGTAAAATTACAAATAAAAGGTAAAATATATTTTGGCATTATATTCCAAACTTTCTAATAAAGATGAAAAATAAATACATGCATATTCGTTCTACTCCAAAATTTTTGGCCGGATAAATCTTACAATTAATCTACAACTTGAGAGGTCCATTTTATTTTAAATAAGATTTTATATCTAGCATAAGTGGATTTCTTACAGATGATGAATATGCGATTCGACCTCAAATATCATGAATAACTGCAGTAAACCTTTTCTCTCTAATTACCATTAAATTCCTTTACATCTCGGGATTCATATTCCTCCGGAATCTCCCTCCGCGAGATTCCGATGACTGCGGCTGCGCCAAGGAGATGGAAAAATTCTGCAGCCATGAGTGTAACAACGGAGGTCGCGTAGACGCCAGTCTTCGGTCTTCGCTTCGCTACGTATCTGCGCGACAATAATCTGTCGCGAATCATTCTCCAGTTTGATATCGCAGTAAAAACGGTCCACGAGAAAAGGGTGACGCGATGACTGTCACCGAGCTGACCACCCAGCAAGAATTCGACGACTTCGTCAAGTAAGTAATCGGGAATACCGGCGGGAAAGTTTATAACCTCCTTTCACAATATTGCTGAAATAACTACATTTCATGCAGTTTATTTTTTAAATGATATATGTTATAATATACCGTAATTTTTTTACTCCGTGTATGTATCTTTATCGAAGTTCAAGACTAGCATATTTTCCTATGATAATTTTATCGGTATGCGAGTGTGATAGATGCTCTCTGATGTTTCCTGATTTTTTACAAGTGTATTTTTGTCGTTCAAGGTCCAAGGAACTTAGTGTCGTTCACTTTTACGCACCATGGGCGCAGCAATGTTCCCAAGTGAACGACGTACTCGACGAGATGACTAAGCTGGAGCAATATAAGAATGTCAAGGTTGCTAAAATCGAAGCGGAGAACGTGCCCGAGGTGTCTCTAAAGTCTGGAGTAGCTGTCGTACCTACCATCCTTTTATTGAAGAATAGCGATATCGTAGATAGAGTGGATGGTGCCAATGCTCCCGCGTTGACAGAGAAAGTCAAACATTATTTGAATAACAGCGATGCTCCGTTGCTGGATGTGGTCAAAACGAAGGAATCCCTTGAGGACAGACTGAAGAAATTGATAAATCAAGCGCCTTGCATGCTCTTCATGAAAGGAAACCCAGCTAATCCACGATGTGGTTTCTCTAGAACAATTGTTTCCACCCTAGATAATTATAAAACAGATTATAAGTCGTTTGATATATTACAAGACAACGATGTTAGGGAAGGACTTAAAAAATTTAGTAATTGGCCAACATATCCACAATTGTATCTAAATGGAGAACTAATCGGTGGATTGGACATTGTGAAAGAGATGGATGAGTCGGGCGAACTTGAAAGTATGTTACCAAAGAAGGATAGTGTGGAAACAAAGTGAATTGATAAATATAATTGTAAAAATAAAAAAGAGGAAATACTTAAATTATCTCTCTAACTTAGTCCATATTAATTATGGAAAACATCTTACATAGAAGCAAAGGCTATTTTCTGTAGGGATCATTTGTGAAATGTGTTATTAAATATATTATGTATTTATAATGATTTCGAAATAACGGGTTTTTTATTCACAAATCGTCAGTTAAGTTTCATGCTAAAATATATCATTAGAAACTTTACTGTAAATAATAATTATAATTAATATCCCACTATTATCGATATAATGTACAGAAAAATTGGATAAAAAAATTTATCATTTATATAAATTTTGCACAGAAGAATTACAACATATCATCGGAATTACAAATAAACAGTCTTTGTTTATATAATAAAAATCACTCGCTATTCCTTTCATGATATAGAGATTTCTTATTTCAATACTTTTCTTTTATTTACATAATCTGTTACCTTCAATCTTATATTTAACTCGCCTCATATTAAACGTATATCAACATATTCGAATTATTAGTCATAATGTATGAATATCTAGATGCGCATGGATGCAATTTTACTTAATTACCGTTTGTCGACGCTGTCAGATGCAATGATTGGCTATCGAATAGAGAATTTCTAGAGTCTCTTCGAAAATCTAAGAATTCTCTATCTGATAGCCAATCATCGTATCCGACACGTCGACAAACGTTAAGTAAAATTTAATTTCACGTAATAACATTAACGTCATCTTACTAGTTAATATCTTTGAAATACGCCACACAGATGTCGCTACAAATCAATATTTGTGTAATTTTGTGCAGCTTTTACTACTATTGTCAACTTCATGCTTTCATGCATTTTAAACCATTGTCGACGTAATTTCTTTTCATCTCTCATCAAACAAGGTATAAATAGTGCGAATATTAAAGGTATCTATTAAGAGGTGACACCCTTAAGGTAAGATATTTCGCAATATTTCTTTCTTCTTATTATATAATATAATATGTATGATAAATTAAACTGTATAAATTTGAAAAACAAACTGATGTTTAAACAGTTTGCTGATTTTGTGAATTGTATATAAATCTATCGCGCACGTTTGCGTATATTACTGTGATCAATTTTATATAATTACACAATATAATAATTAATGTATAATATTAAATATAATATGTATAACAAATATCTGAAAACATAATATTACTGTTATAGGAGAAGAATCAACAATACGATTAGAAAATGTTACAATTCATATCTCTTGATTAACCAACTCGCCAAGATGTAAATACGGAAATGGCCGGAATGTTATTAGAAGATAGTTTATCTCTCTCTCGTTACATTAATCTATTTGTGTCGTTGATCCCGCCAGACGGTCACGTAAAAAATAAAGTTATCACACGCGGTAGTGAAACCAACGACCGAATTTTTCGATCCTTCTGCGAGAGATGATAAAATGTGCGGGAATGGTAGCATTAAATTTGCTAAATCAACTGCCACGCGAGGGATATTCTTCTGCAAGATAGAACAGACAATTTCATAAACGAACGATTACCGTTTCTTGCAATTATCTTACGAAGCATTAAATACGGAAAATTAACGAAAAAACTATTGAATTACATTAATAAAAATTTAATTAAAAAAGAAAATCCTATCTTATCTGTATAAATTTTAATATCAAATATATATAGGCATACAAATTCAATATTTGACACGCGTAAATTTAACAGACCAGTTAAAAATATAGATATTAAATTCATATATAGATATAAATACATATCGAATATCATAATTAAAAGATGCAATTTAGATACAAAAATCTAGATACAAAAATTTATTATCGTTCGTCACGATAGGATGTATATGAGATTGACTAAATTTCTTTCTTATCTTCTTACGCCCAGTTAGACCTTGCCGGACGGCAAATGGTTTCGCGTTCGTTTACGTATTTCATTATTGGCAATCGACAAGTAACTGCAAAGATTATCGTCATTTAAACATTACAAATATAATTATGTAGGCGCTCCCAGCGAAAATATATGATCTTTGAAAATATTTAACATAAAACTTTTGAACATTTTTGAATGTGCAAAATCTTGCAGGCGTAATCGTACATCTCGTCAGTAATTTAATGATAACGATGTAATTACATTGCTGGCCTTATTTGAGAGAATTCAACCTTTACCGTAAATTAGAAAATTACCGTGTCAAGAGGAAAGCAGGAGTTACTCGTATCGTTCGAGCATGTTTTCCGTTTTATAAACCATCGAAAAGCTGGCGGTTTCAATCAAGCACATTTTGTATTTAATCCTAATCTTCATTAAAATCCGTTTTTTTCTCTCGATTTTGTGAAACCTGAATTAATTCGAAAATTAATATAATTTAATGGTAATATTGACCGTTTTATACGCCTTAGATTTATCCAGTATCAGTTGATTTCTTTCGCGGTTGTTTACCCTTTGAATTGTGCAATTATTTGTTATCGTTTGTCACGATAAAATGTATATGAGATTGACTAAATTTCTTCTTATCTTCTTACGCCCAGTTAAACCTCGTCAGACGGCAAGTGGATTCGTGTTCGTTTACTTATTTCATTATCACAATCGACAAATAACTGCAAAGATTTATCGTCATTTAAACGTTAAGTATGACATTACGATAGCCATCATACAAACTAAACAAAAATATTTCAATTAGAGTTATTACAATTAACATTCAAATGTATTAATCTATATTTGAGATAATGCATATATCAAACGCACATCTAAAAATAATTTAGATAATTTGTAAATAGATAAAAGAGAAGAGTTTTAAATAATTATAATCCTAAAATTTATTATTATTATAAATATTATTATATTAGAATTATTAATTTAGCAGAGTATAATGAGCAAATCAATTTTCGTTTAACAATAAGTTAGAGCTTGCCCGAGAAATAATTTCCATCGACGCGGTAGCCTGATTTTCCTCCTTATTTGCATTTCTCGAAGAAAGAGGGAAAAAGATGGAGAGAGGAAGAGAGGGACACGATGACGCAAGTGTATTACGCCTCCGCCTTTTGCTATTGATTCCCTGACGTCACTGAAGGACATCCTACGCAACAGGAGTCCTTAATCCTGCAAGGGGTTACTCTAAATTCCGCTCTCATATATACAGAATGCTCCGAAAAATTCGAATAGCGGGAATATTTACGTTCTTGTTGCAGAACGCCCCGCATGTGTTTCTTTTAAAAATAAAATAACTTGTTAGCATAACTGATCACTATGTACTCACATTAAAATGGATATCATTATCATTCTGAAAAGCTGTATTTGTTATGTGATACGTAATTAATCAACGTATGTAAAGAATTTATTTATGTAAAGAATTTATAATAATACGTTTCTGATCGAACCGATGGTAAAGCACTGCGAGAGTGCTTATTATCACATTTCTTTTCTTTCATCGCTAATATCACTGTATATGTATATTTCCATATTCAATGATCCGTTCCGAAGCTTGCAAAAACGATATGATAATGTTTAGCAACTATACGTGCTTAAACATTACATTATTAATATTACGCAAACAGATAATTACAATTATTACTATTGCACATTAAAATGGATATCATTATCATTCTGAAAAGCTGTATTTGTTATGTGATACGTAATTTATCAACGTATGTAAATAATTTATATAGTAATAATACGTTTCTGATCGAACCGATGGTAAAGCACTGCGAGAGTGCTTATTATCACATTTCTTTTCTTTCATCGCTAATATCACTGTATATGTATGATATATTTCCATATTCAATGATCCGTTCCGAAGCTTGCAAAAACGATATGATAATGTTTAGCAACTATACGTGCTTAAACATTACATTATTAATATTACGCAAACAGATAATTACAATTATTACTATTGATTTTATCTTGTACTCTCTTGTTCCGTATCTTATGAATTTTTGAATGATATTTCGTCATCCATCCATACATTTGATTTATTTTTCTGCAAATAATTTATTCTTGCAATTCTTGCAATTCATCCAATTGCTGTAACAGCATCAATTTATAATCATTATAGATATCTTATTCAATAATGCAAAAAATCAAGTCACCTTTGCTTTCACAAGTCACATTAAGCCACATTATTTTTTTAATTTAATAAATAATAAAATAAATTAAGAAGTAAAAGATAAAATCAACAAAAAAAAAGAAAAAAAACAAAATTGACATATAAGAAAATTTCTTATTAAAATTTACTCTATAATAGTTATATTATGAATTAATTTTAACGTAATTTATAATCATCTTAATAGTTGCAGATTAATCACTTACTTTTTTTACGTAAATATTAAATTGTTTTATCATCGCAAAAGTATTCTAGTGTCAATGATTAATTTTTGAGAAATGGACATTCTTTGTAATCACCTCTCTATGTGACAACATAGTTTTATTATGCCGACAGTTTACAATTTATTATGCAGAAATAATTTGTAAACTGTAAATTACCATTTGCAAAACAATCATGAGGCAATATAAAAATAAAATTGATATTAATCAAAGTTCAAACGAGATGTTTAAAGAGAGACAAGAAAAAATTGCGGTTGCAATTCTTTAAAATGTTTTCTTCTCCGAGACATTCCATTTTGTTTCCCTTTGTTTTGTTTAACTATTGATGATCCTCCGGATTAATTTTATGTACGAATTTTCATATTTAATCTGAACAACAATTTTTAGTGCCGTTGCAGTATGTAATAAAATATATAATTTCCGTTTTCTTATTTATTGCAAATAACAAACGACTTTTCAACAATGACCGACTCCCTTTTGCATTAAGAAAACTTGTTTCGCTTATTTGTTTAATTTATACTTACACAATTTATATAATTATTGATTGCAAACTTGTCAAAAATGCAACGGTTATTACACGGTTTCGCAAAACGTTGATTGACCTTTCTATGTTACATTATATATATATATATA